TAGCAACAATAGGGTAATACTGCTACGAAGGATTAGAAGGAACAGCTTACAGGACTGATGCTGCCTGCGAGGTGATATAACGTTGCTATTGATAGAAATACGATTCTAAATTGATGCTAGCAGTGCTATACTTACTTAGTAACGCCAGTACAGGCGCCAACAGGCTACAGTACAATAGTGTGAGTGCTATATCAGGCTGAGTCTTCCAACAATGATTCTCAGCTCGTGACAGCCGGACAGAGCCGACTAAGTCACTGATTCAGCTCGGTAGGCTAAAAGCACCCTGTACGCCCCCCACCCTACGCAGACTACCACTTATGTCGCGATAGGAGTGTACGTTTCTTAACGGTGGGAGTCACAATATCGAATATCGAGTTTATCAACGCCAGCTGGGTCACGGTAGACACCTGCCCCCTCCCCCACCACCACCTATCTCGTGTTAGCAATGCGTGCTGGGCTCACGCGATATCGATTATTCCGAGCTGCACGCCGTGGTAAGATAAACAGCCAACGCACGTCAGGCAACGAGCGGCGAATGTACTGCAGATGGTTCCGCGTAGTAAATCTCGAGGCTGATTTAGTCTAGGATTTAATGCTAAGTGGTTGCTTACAACGGTAATATTCTACGGCTGAGATATGAGGCTCAGTTGGGGCATGGCGAGAGGAAGAGTATTTTTACTAATGAAAATGGTTAGTAATTCATAAAATTATTTTCCTAGAAGCTAGCACTAAGTTCCTGTTGGTAGCAATCCTATGCTAAGACTATTGATTCGAGTACTCAAGAGCATGCTTAGTAATCCTAGTGCAGGAGATGGCATGATTAGGTGCTATAATGCGAGAGTTTAGTAGGCACGTTCAATAAGAACAGTATCCAACTTACGTGGGAGACTTATCTGGACGTTCCCGGAAACTTGAGGACGCATCCTTGTCCTGGAGATGGGAGGGTGATGAATGAGGGGGGCGGGAGTTAGTGGTGGGGGTGAGGGTGTGGGAGGAGTTGGATGTGCCGACATGACGGTCAATGCCGCTCTCGTGAATGCGCATTTGACCTAGTAGGCCGGGGCGATGGGCGAATGTCCGGGGACGGTGTGGGCAGTGAAGGCGCGATGGATTGGCAAGTGACCGACTAGGCCAATTCGTGAAGTTAATGCACGATTGCAGTGAGGGCTCGAAACCCCAGCGCTGGTAGATGTGGTGGGGATGATGGTGGGAGGCGGGTAAGTTGATACCGATGGATGAGGGCAGCAAATCCTTTGCGGTGAAGGTTGTTGCTGTCGAGGTGCTGGGTAGAGAAGGGTCTGTTGAAGTATCTGAAGCCGTAGAAGTGGATGCCATCGGGAGAGGGGTGCACTTTGTCCGGAGGTGGCTAATCAAACCAATGCGAGCACGGAAGGTTCGTTGGCAGAGCAGACAGGTTGAAAGGGCTTGGACGGTGCCAGTGTGCGTCCAATGATTGTGAGACTTGCGAGCCTCCCGTTTCGCTTTGGCGGCGGCAATCTGACTGGCTTCCTGGATTGTTGAGCCAGTTTTTACCGTTCTGCGTCACGTAGATCGGTCTTGCGCGAGTTCCTCCCAGGTCACAGTGCGAATTTGAAGACGCTGCAGAGAGTTCTTCAGAGTGTCCCTGTAGCGCCTCTTTTGCCTTCCTTTGCGACGAGCGCCTACAGTGACATCTCCGTAAAACAGTTGCTTGGGTAGGCGTTAATCGTCCATCCCTACCACGTGACCGCTCCAGCGCAGTTGTACCTGCCTGCTGAGGAGTTCCGTTCTCTCCAGGACTTTCGTGTCCGGGATCCTTTCCTGCCATCGTATCTTCAGTATCCAGCGGAGACAGCTGAGATGGAAATGATTTGGCCTCCGAGCTTGGTTGGCGTAGACGGTTCAAGTCTCCGCTCCGTACAACAGTGTTGTGAGCACTACGGCCTTGTAAATATTCAGTTTCGTTGACAGCTAGAGACCGTGACGATTCCATACAGAGGCCTGAAGCCGGCCGAAGGCTTGGTTGGCTTTGGAGATCCTGCGAGCAACCTCATCGTCGATTCAAGTATTGCGGTATAGCGTGCTGTTGAGA